TGGTTTGCTTCTTCTGTTTGATGTATTGACTGTAATTGACCTGGGATTTGATCTGTCTCTGGTTAATCCTCTTACAATAGCATGAGCCTAAGTCACTCCCCTAAGGAACATCATACCCAGAGCACTTTATGAATCCTTTATGAGAATTCTCTTGTGGAAGAACCTGTTTATGAAGGAACAACTGGGTTCTTTAGAAAAGTGGCCCTCATGAGCTCCAGACATCATTAGAGGTCCAGCACAGTCCTCTCTGCAGTCTCTCTGCATGCACCTAAGTGTAAAGAATTTCTTAAATAGCACCCATTGGCCATAAGGTACATGATGCTATTCTATGTATGCACCAAAATCAACATCAGTGGTATAATGTCAGATAAGGGAAGCACTGCTTGGTAGCAATGCGTGCCCAAAAGGAAGAGAAACTTGGCAATTATCGTTGGCCACCAATTCTATAAATCACAAGAGTGTGATGAAGCTGTTAAACACAAAATCAAAACCAAACAAAACTTCACACAGTCTCAGTCCACATTAATAGAAGTAGAAAGTTCAAATCATAGCATTAAACAGCCCTACTGCACTCATTACTGTTTAGAGTAAATCTTACCATGTTCAATTTCAAGTGTCATAATTTTTTAACTTGTAGCTAGAATTTGCACAGATCTTAAGTGTTCAATTTTAAAGCACAGATTTTGGCATCAGATCTTAAGTGTTACGACAATTGCTTTACCCATATAACCATTACCCCAGTTAAGATATAGAATGTTTCTGTTATCCCTAAAAGTTTTGTCACGTCCCCTTTCGGTCAGTTCCCATTCACCCCAATGAAAAGTGTATGTTGATCCCGAGAGACAAGAAGTCTGCCGGACCAGATTGGGATTTTTCTTTACTAACCTTTCTTTACTAAGTACTTTGTACATGTCACAAACCCACAGGAAAGGTGTCTTGGAAGTGGGTGGCATAGGCTGGAGACAGCTTGTTGCAGAGACAGATCCAGAGATATTACCAAATGGAAACACTAAAAGCTCATCTCCACTCCCAGCAGCCAGTCCTGGATGACGCTCGCCTGTCTCTACAATCGTGACTCTGTCCTGCTCATCTTGTTTCTAGACTAGTGGCCCCAGGGAGTCTTGCTAGATCAAAACATAGGTTTCTGGTTTTACGTCCCAAAGAAAGCTGCCAAGAGCATGTAATTAACTAGAAAGTTCCAGGTGATGATTTATAAGTCTTATTTAGACCTTTACAATGATCTACTTTCTTAGTGGCCTGTGTTGAATTGGCTTTGGTGGCTACCCTTGGGTTGCTTTAAATGGGACAGAAAGAAGACATCCATCATGTTGGATCAGGAGGCACCCCCAGGACATAGCATAGTTTTAGATATGGGGGAGATGATCCCTAATATATGTGCTTGTTTGAGAAGCCCTACCTAGGTTATCTCTGGAGCTCTGTCATAGTTCAGCTGTGTATAGACACTTCTTTGGGCTGGAAAATCCTCGTTTGAAAATTGAGATTAATGCCGTCTCTCTATCGCAAAATGATGGAGAAAGTTAAATGAAATATTAAGTAGTTAGAGCTCTGAAAATATATAAAAGTGGCATGACATTAGGAAGGATCACCTGTTAAAGCATCTCTGTCTCCTTGAAGCTGAGCTGGGGGGAGAAACAAGCAGTGAGATTTGGGACAATGAAACAACGTTTTAGTCCCCCTGTGTTTAAAAATTCACCCTTACATGTTCATCCTTTTGGGTTTTAAAAGCTTCCTGGGACTTCATGGCCCCTCCAACCACCACCACAACACCCCTTTCTTCCCAGCTAAAACTGCCAATAAATGTTAGACCTTAAAACTTGATCTTCTAAATGGAGTCAGCTGGGTTTAATATTAGATACCTACTGCATGCCAAGCACTGTGAAGGTAATAAAAATAAGCAAGAAATAGCAGCTGCCCTCCAGGAATTTCTAACTTGATCACATCACTTACAGCAGGAGAAGAATCCCAGACAAACAGTCCTCCCGTTTCATTCACTAACCAACATTACTGGTCTTCTTACCAGTTTACCTTGATCTGTCTTGGCCCCTGCCTTTTCACACATTAAATAATTAATTCTGGAGTTTTCTCTCTACAATGAGCAATGGCCTGGTCAGGAAAAAAATCGTCTCATGGACTTCTAAGGAAAAACGAAAAACAAAATGACGGTGTCTTTTGAAGTAGTCCTAAGTAAACTATGATTCTGTGTTCTCAGTTTATGGGTAGCTTTGGTTTAAAACATGTCCATATGCCTTTATCTTCATAACTCATGCCTTAGGCTGTCCCTTCTTTACAACTAAACTTCACATTTTATTTGGATTTCACTAACTTTTTCATTAATGACCCCTTTCTGTTCCAGGATTCAGTCCAGAGTTTAGCAATCCACTTAGTTGTCATGTCTCCTCCGCTCTGAGTTTCTTGGTCTTCCCTTGTTTTTTTCATGACTTTGGCAGTCTTGAGGAGTACTAGTCAGATGTCCCTCAATCTAAGTTTGTCTGATTATTTTTCTCATAATTATATTGGGGTTAGTGGGTTTTTGGGGGAAGGAATACCACAGAGGTGAAATGACCCTCTTGTCATGTCATATCAGGGGATACATGATATCCCCATGATTGGTGATGTTAACCTTGATCACTTGGTTATGGTGTAGTGTTTGCTTGGTTTCTCCCCTCTGAAGTTATTATTTTTTCTCTTTCCATACTCTGTTCTTTGGAAGAGAGTCACTAAGTCTAGCACACTTTAAGTTTCACCTCCTGAAGCAGGGTGTATCTGTATGTGTTATTTGGATTGATATGATTTGAACAGAATTAATATTCAGCCTCTCTATACAGCACCACTGAACTTCACACTACAGGTCATTCTCACTGTATACCTTGAGAACGTTAGCTAATTAATCGTAATTAGAAATTATAACAGACTCTCACTAACTCTTACTTCACTGATCTGTAAATAGAACAGATTTTTTTAAAACCTATCAGTCTTTTTACCTCACTTCTAAACAGAGATTTGTATAGCTAAAAGTGGCAGTATATGCTTAATCCATGAAATCTATGTCTATGAACATATTTCATTTTTTACTTTATTATTATTATTATTTTGAGATAGAATCCCACTGTCACCCAGGTTGGAGTACAGTGGTGCAATCTCAACTTACTGCAACCTTTGCCTCTTGGGTTCAAGCAATTCTCGTGCCTCAGCCTCCCAATAGCTTGGAGTAAAGGCATGGGCCACCACGCTTGGCTAATTTTTTGTATTTTTAGTAGAGGCAGGGTTTCAACATGTTGCCCAGGCTGGTCTCGAACTCCTGGGCTCAAGCGGTCCGCCTCCCTCAGCTTCCCAAAGTGCTGGGTTTACAGGTGTGAGCCACTATGTCTGGCCTGCTTTTATTATTTTTAATAGACACGTAATAATTAGATACTATAAATGTATTTAAAAGAGGTTATCTGTGGAGCCTCAGCCTGAGTAACTTTCCACAAATATTTTACTTTGTGTTTTCTGCTTCCCTGAGGAGTATCTAAGTCATTTATAGAGAAGTATATTTGTGAAAATAGCTTGGATTTTAATCTGTATGTTATATTACAACCTCTAAGTGGAACATCTTACTGTAAGGGGTGCAAAGACAATTATTACATATAATTAGGTAATATCTTCATTCTCAAAAAACCCCAGTCTCTTTATGACTTGGTTTCTAGTAGAACAGGGTTTAGTTTCAGATGAATCTATCTTCAATTCTGTCCAGTAGAAGCCACTGTATTTGATATAGTTTGTGTATTCCAATCATTTCCCCATATGTATATGCGTCTATGGTTCGCCCCAACCACACTGAATGTTTGGAGAGAACAGTCTGTGACTTCTACCTTTGTCTCCCAGTGACTAGCCTGTGGCATCTGTAGAGTTGTTGGTTGTTTATCCAACATTGATGTGTGCCTTTCCTTCTATCCAACAGAATCCCAATTTATTCAGGAACCTCTCCCCTCTTCCTAACCAGGCATCTCAGGGGAAACTGACCCACACGTAGCTCCAGGGGCAGGTCTGATTGTTGAAGGTATTCCTCCTCCTCACTCATGATTAGCCTTGAAAGGGACACATGGCCCCAAACAGCCCATGTAGGGAGCTTGCTGGGGGCTTCTGAGAAATTTTTCTCCATCTTAAGACAAAATGACAAGGAGTGGTGAGGTGGCTTCTCTACCTGTAGACACTGTCATGCATAGCCATGACCATCAGAGCCACCAGAGCTGCCCACCTCCAGTCAGGGCACAAAACCAGGAGAATGTCAGGGGAACCATGGACCTGTGCTAAGCTGAGGCTTCCCATTTGTGAAACTATAATAAATGTACTTTCTGTTTTAAGTTCAGTTTCCTATTACTTGCCGTCAAAGACTTCCTTGGTGATATATGTTTATCAATAAGTATATTTATTTGATTGATTTTAGTGTCAAAGGACCTCTTAGAAAGAAGAGGATGATTTTAAAAAATGAAAAAAAAAGTCACTAATTCACTTTGGGAAAGGAATTTCATCCTAGCTAGAAATTTTTAAAGAATATGTGGTTTTTATTCCTGTTCATTCCTTGTTCATAAACTTGTACATTAAATGTTATTTTAAACTTTAGTATTATTTATGATTTGAAGATAAAATTAAAAAGTGGTGGGCACAATGGCTCACTCCTGTAATCCCAGCACTTTGAGAGGCCGAGGTGGGCAGATCACTTGAGCCCAGGGGATTGGAACCATTCAGGTTTTGAACATAGTGAGACCCCTATCTCTGTAAAAAAAAAAAAAAAAAAAAAAGAGAGAGAGACATAATGTGAGACCCTGTCTCTATTTTTAAAAATACAAAAATTAGCTGGGCATGGTGGCTCATGCCTGTGGTCTTAGTTACATGGGAGGCTGAGGTGGGAAGATCGCTGGAGCCTGGGAAGCGGAGGTTGCAGTGAGTCGAGATTGTGCCACCGCACTCCAGCCTGGGTGAGAGAGCGAGACTCTATCTCAAAAAAAAAAAAAAAAAAGAAGTTAGGGTGCCATTGATTGGTCTGTTTTGTTCTAGTGTGAAAATTGCCTGGCTTCTGGAAATCATGAAACAGTATAGATTGCAGCCTCCTCTGAAACACATGCAACTTTCTCTACCCAGAGTTATTTTGTCTCAATCCCTTCCACCCCTCCTTCCATAGCTGCACCACTTCTCTTCCTCTTTCTGTTTTGGGTGTCCTCCTGCAGGTGGTTGTCCACTGAGCTGTGTCTTCCCAGATGCAAAGTCAGCTTCACCTGGGTCTTTTGAATAGAATGCACCCCTCCAGTACTGCAAGCTTCACCTGGCTCCTTCTCGGAGATCCTATTTACTGCAGTATGGTATCAATTTATGACTATTTTACTTCTTATTGAGACTCTGTGTGTGATGTCCATAGGTATTCAAGCCCTGGAATGTTGTTTCTCACCATTTCCCATCTTTTGCTTGCTGTGGGTCACTAGGCACATTCTGCACTCTTAGTCTTCTTCCTTTGTCATACCTCTTGCCTTCCATGGCAGCTCATTTCAAGGGCTTTATGAAAATAGCTTTCTTTTCTCATCTCTAGTGGACACTTGATGCTTGTGTTCCCTCTATCCTGTGGAAAGGACCCATTATTTTGATATTGCAAACCTTAGCCCAGTAAGTAAATTTGTTTTTTCTCTCCAGTCAACAGCCCAGTATTTCCTAGCTGGTAAGATCCAGCTTTATCTCACACATTTTTATAGTGTGTTTCTTAAATTATATTTCTCAGAATATAGTTCCTTAAGGTGTTCTGTAGAAATATGATTCCACAGACAACGTAATTTGAGAAATGCTGCAGATCTTCCCAGAGAGTCACCATGCATATTAGTAAGTACATCATAGGTCCCAACAAACCCTGTATAAAGACAACTTTTTAACTTATTTAACTACAATGCCCTCCACCTCTGCTTCCCTCTTGCCTCCTCCCAACAAGGTCTATTCAACAGCCTATTAAACTCACCCAGTAGAATTTACAATTCCCTGAACCCATTTGGGCTTTGCTGCTTCTAAGCCTTTGCTTTTGGGGTTTCTTACTTGAAACATCCTCCCAGGCTATCTTTGTCTATCAGAATGACCAGCCCTGCCCCCTGAGCCTAGCTCAGATGGTGACGGTGTGATACTTTCCTTTAAAATATTTCCATATTAAAAAGTGCAGCAGGGATGTGGGCATAACTGAACTCCAGTCCACAAGAGGTAAGCGCTTAGCATTTGAAATATCCTAATCAGCAATCAACCTTCCAGAGGTAGTTATTCAGCATTCTAAGTATGCTTGAAATCTATACCAGAGGATTTGTAAATTAGCACAAAGTATGTGAGAAATGAATTTTCACTGGTGTGAGGAGTGATGTTCAAGATCAGTGACTGATTACAAAGATTGTCTAGGCCACACCCCCTGCATGAAGGAGATATAAGAATCAGCAGCCCCATTCCCTGGGTTCAGTACTGTGCTCTAGGCCAACTGCCTGAGGGTCTCAAGGACCCTGCTTCAGGGAAGACCTCTAGTGCCTGAGTCCTCTATAATCCTGGAATATTGCAGCCTTCTCAGATGTTGGGTGTGGGCTGAGGTGTCAGAGGGCCAAGATGGGGACTTCCCTGAGCTACAAAAACTGCTCGCATGACTATGCAGGCTTGCTAATAAATTTCATGCAAGACCTGCTTAAACTGTGTCTTACCTCCTGGTAAGGAGGTAGTGGAGAGGGGCTGCATCACCCTCAGCTAATCTAGAGGTTACAGATAGTTACTACAAGAACCCGAGGAGCAGATGTGGCCGGTCAGCAGACAGGTCAGTCCCCCTTGGGCCATGACTGCTGGCCCAGGCCCCTCTCTGGTCATTTCTGTTCTCAAGGTGATGCTGACCAGGGTGAGAAGTCATCAGTCACCTCAGGGCTCAGCCAGCTCCACTGGCTTCCATCTCCCTGGCGTGTCTTCTGTCCCAGAATCAAAGTGGCTGCATTAGGGAACTGTAAGCCACTAAGGTACTTGGTTAAGGGACATCCACATCTCTCACCCTGTGACCACAACAAAGAGGGACTCTTGCCATGCTGGTTTCCTGCCTGTGCCCTGCCCTCCTCATCCTCCTAAACTCTCCTACGTCTACCCACACACATTATTGGGGTTTCTGCAGGATCCATGCCTATACCAGCAAATGTGACTCTGTCATTCCTCCAGAACCTGATTTTCCAGATTAGCCCAATGTGGTCAGTCCTGTCTCTGCCTCTGAGTCCACATCTGCAGAATGGGAATAAAGCAGTATCTCCTCATGGGCCTGCATATCCAAACTAGTTTGTATATCTAAAGTCTAGAACACTGCCTGGCATCTTGTAAGCACTTGGTAAGTATTCATTCTTCCTTTTATCTTACTTTCTTCTTAAAAAATTATTATTATAGCTTTGTCTCAACAGGTAGGTTCATTGCACTGGTGTGAAATGAACAAATTCAGGAGGTTGTAATAGCCTTCTATTAACCAAGATAGATATCACAAAGGGATAGATATCACAAAGACCATGCACTAATGTTCACTTCTTTACTCATTGGGACCCTTACTTGGAACTTATTTCCTCCTGGTTTACAAAGAGTTCTAATGAGCTTGATTTGCTTCCTTACTTCACAGAAGATGAGAAAAAGCAAATTAGAAGGAATTTGAGGCAGGCATACCCAAACCATCAAGGAGTGACTGCTGATGGTGAAGAAAGAGTCATAGAAGTATAAAGACAAGTCAAAAGAACCTCAAATTCTGGGATCATTTAGGTAGGAAAAAATAGTCCCATGCCTCAGTACTTCTCAAACCATGTCATTGTTCTAAAGCCTAGTGTAATGGTTGATGTTTATAGTGATGGTCTTGAGTTATTGAGAGATGATTAACTGATTTATAGCATGCTTTGTTTAATGAGGCAGGAAAGTATGTGATATGCTTTAGAACTTCCAACAAAGTGGTGAATGTTAGAGTTTTGAAGCTAAGAGTGATCAATCATGCTCTTGTTGTCTGTTAAAGCAATTTATATAACATACCCAGTTCTCACTTCATACCGGATAAATGAAGCATCACTTTCCATGGTTAGTTATAGCAGTTAGTAATTGCAAAATACCCCCTAATCCATGAGGTATAAGCTTGCTTACTCTATTAGAAAAACAACTCCCAAATCTGACTCTTGCTAAATCCTAAAGAGTTTTATAGATACACGTGAGAACAGAGCATGTAGAATAATCGATCTGAGAAACAGACGGGTACTTGTAAATAAAGCAGCCCCTTTTCTAAGTTCTATTTTTAACTTCTTTTGATCTTGGTCTAGAAGACCTTATCCACTGTTAGGTTTTGCTAAGTTTGAAGCAGATATATTTTAGTATGAGGGAAAGGGCATGGGTATTTCACGGTGTTGCTGTGCTCAAGTTTCCCTTGGCTGTTAAGAGCTGACAGTCTCAAGAGTGCAATGGCCCAGAGCAGGTGGCTTTGCCCCACTGGTGACTGGGATGTGATCCAGTCTGTACTCTGACTTGTCTTGTGCAGAGACACATAAATTCATCAACAGGTAAGGAATTTGAGGGTCTGTAACAAATGATAGTGCAAGAGACAGAGCCTTAAATTAAGGAGAAGAGGGTGTAGGAGGATAGTAATTACAGCCTGACATTACTGCCATAGCCTCTGCCACCTACTGAGCTCTCACTATGTACCAGGCCCTGTGCACACATCAATGCTTTGATGCAGATACCATCAACCCTACAAGGCAGATGCTTTATATAATGAGGAAACTGAGGCTCAGAGATGTTAAGTGACTTATGTAAAGTCACACAGCTAAGTACAGAGGAGATCAAGTTGACATCCAGATCTGTCTGCCTCTCCGGGCCATGGTTTGAACTACTGGATGGGCGCTGGGAAAACATCTTTTCTCTGGGACCAGCTCAGCCTTGGTCTTTGCGCAGAGGAAAGAGGCAGCAGAGGGCTCCCAGGAGTATTCGTGTACTGCTCTGAGGGAGAAATGCCAGGGACAAAGGTTTGGATCCATTTGGAAGGGACCTTGAGGAAACATTGGTTATATTACTTATCCTAGAGGTGGGTCCTCTGCTCTAGGGCCCAATAAAACTAGTAAGCAGTGGGAGCTGCTCCACCTTGCAAGAGAAACTCTTTACACTCCTGCTCCTATGGCCAGTGTGTCTGTCCTCAAAAGCTTTTCCAGGGTCACTTTTAACTGGGCAGTTTGCTGATCTCCTTAGATATTCAGTTCAAGACTGAGGTGGTTTTCATTTGGGATATCTCTCAGAGGGCAGCTGTGCTGTCATTTCTCCCAGGGAACAAGAAGCAGGATGTAGAGGGGAGGAGGACCCATGGCCCAGCTTCCGTCCGGGGCAGGCCTTCCCTGGCAGAGTGCCTGCGTTCGTTCCTCCGTACAGCTCACCTGGCTGCCACTCTCCTGCTCCGGCGAACATGGCAGCCTCTGTCCCATGTCTCAGTCTGGTCTCAGTTCCTCCTGGATCTTCTTGTTCTTTAGGTTAGTGGCAGTCAGACAGAAAGATAAGAGGTCATGAGCTCAAAGGGGAAGAGTCATGAGGGCAGACTCTGGCTTGGTCCACATGCTTTGGCAAGGCATCCTGAACCACAGGCAAGTCTGGGCTGCAGCAGCAAATAAGGGCTTACGTTTCTCACGGAGTCAAAGAAAAAGGAGGTGATGGGGACAGGGGTGGCAGAAATAACAGGTATCATGATAAAACAAGAGCACTGCAGAGAGAATGGGAACATGCCCTGGAGTCAGACAGACATGGGGAGAACCCCGCCTGCCACTGGCTGTGTGACCATGGACATGGTCTTAGTTTTTGATGGACATTTGACAGATATAAGCAAAGGAATCCTGGCAAAGAACAGTGGAGGTGTATTATAGACCAGGTGAAAGGGGCCAGATTTTTGAGGGTCTTAAGTGTCAAGCAGAGGTGTTAGGATTTTGTCTTTAATACACTAAGGATCCATTGAAGGTTAGTGAGCAGGGATGTTGCCTGCTTAAAGTAGTGCTTGGGTGAGATTAGCCTAGCAATGTTACATTCCATTTACATTCATGCCTGCATCTGGAAAAATAATGCAAAAATGCTGCCCTATCTATTGGTAGCCTGGGATAACTAACAGTGGTCTTCAGTGCTGTCTACCAAATATTTCTAATTTTCTGCCTTCTGGGAACATAGCATTGCATTTTCCTGTCTGCTTCAAAGTTAGGTGTGACTATGTGATCTACCTAAACCAAGGCAGGGATTGGCAAGCTTTTTCTTAAAGGACTAGATAGACAATATTTTCAGCTTATGGGCCATATAGTCTCTCTTGCAACTACGCAACTTTGCTGTTGAAGTACGGAAGCAGTCACACAGTGCAATGGAGCACGCATAGCTGTGTGGCAGTAAAACTTCATGTAGAAAAACAGGCAGCTGTACAACGCGTGTGAGCAGAAGTGACACTTTTGGACAGAAGCTCTAAGAGCTGGTGCCCAGTTCAATGGCGCTGCTGTAATCCTGGAGGCACATGCGAAAGTTCAAAGCCTCTGTCAGGCTGGGACCCCAAGTGACTACATGAGCCAAGTCCCTGTCAATACAATGCATGTTGCACGTGTAGCATAGTTAAGAAATAAACCTGGCAGTGTTAAGGCAGTACGATTTTGATGCTGTTTCTTACTGCAGCATAACCTCTCTCTGCGGAATGATACAGTATCATCTTTGTATGCAAAGCATCACATCACCATTCTTTCAGTCCTCGTCATTACAGCTGACATTTACTAAACACTTACTATGTGCCAAATACTAATGGTGGGGGGGACTTTACCAACATCATTTCAATAATTCCTTCTCACAACCATATGACGTGAGTGCTGTGATTATACCCATTTTTGAAGAAAAAGAAAATGGAATTTTTGAGAGGTGAATTAACTTGCTTACAATCTCACAATTGACATGATCCACAGTGGCCCTGTCACAGGGCAAGAATGAAGAATCATGCTTCCAGAAAAGCGCTGCTCTGAGCAGTGGAGGTGAGAGGAAATAGCCCGGAGGGATGAATTGGATTGGCAGTTCTGGCCACACAGTAAGAGGACCACGTGGAGATTGGCAGATCCTTAAGAACTGCTCCCAGTCATGTACCCATGTATTTCCATCAGTCATCCAGAGCCAGTTGTCATCTTTCCATTCTCAGCCATGTTCATGTCTTTCTTTGAAAGGAGAAAATAATTTACATTCTGGAACTGTCTTAAGAAATTGTGCTACTCTCCTTCCTGGCCTGAATAAGCTGTGACTGTCATCTCTGATGGGTTTAAAGACAATTTACCAATCTTGTATTGCAACAGCCTTCCTCTATTGGACACTGTAATAAGAAGTCACATAATGAGTTCTTATAATTCTCAAGAGCTACCATGGAAGATACTATCCATTATGCTATTCAATATTTCTTACTTAAAGTCTCATTTAATTAAGTTCTCTATTTAGTATCATGGAATTTTTTCAATAAAATTATACCTTTCCCTAATCAAAAATGAGCATTACATAAGCAATTACATTTCCCTTTTTACCTTGCCCGTTGGAAATAAGGATTTGCTTGATACTTGAAAATATAACTGTTCTGACTGAGGATCATGGTGGAAAATCTTTAGTCATTCTCCCCCTGCTTCTCCTTCACCCCTGTGGGTTCAGATATCTGTTTCTGACTTTTAAGTTTTAAATGTATAACATTTTATTGTAGGTCACTGAAAATCCTTCTTGGAAGTAGATAAGATGTCAATTATAATTTATAACTTCAGTAGGCCATGTGATAGCAAGTCAGTGAGTAGCGTGGAGTTAACATTCCGAGCTTCTACTTCCCTCTTCCTGGTTGAAAGTTCTTGTTGTTTATCATCTAAGAGTGTCATCCCTCAGTGTGGGAAACCTTTAAGATACAGATCCACTTCCCTTTTTTACAATGACAACTCAAAGTATTATCCTTGTTCTAAACTTACTTCATGCATAGACCAATGATCCAAAAAAGAGATTTTGGGGGCCATCAGATTTGATGAAATTAGTCACAGCAGCAGATGCTTTTTATCAAGCACTTGCTTGCCAGACATTATACTGCCCATTTTGCATGCTGTATTATGTTTACCCTCCAACCTGTGAGATATGTCTTCTTATTGGGCTGGGGAAACTGCGGCTCATGTAAGTAAAGTGACTTGTCAGGACACTCAGTCAAGGAGAGGCTCATGCAGTCAAGAAGATTTAAACACAGGTGTTTGTGACGAGAACTGCACTCCTACTTTGCCACAATCGATTCTTGATGATGATGATGATGTCAGGTACTGTTCTTCTACATGCTAGGTACTATTCTAAGTGCAATGCTATGTTCCCAGAAGGCAGAAAATTAGAAATATTTGTACTATTCTAAGTGATTGATATTGTATTAATATCCCTATGACAGGTTCTGCTACCACCATTTTACCATGGGGAAACCAAGGCACAGAGAGGTTAAGTAACTTGCCATAGGTCACATAGGTAGTAAATGGTGGAGGGAGGATTTGAATCTAGACAGTTTGGCTCTAAGGCCCACTCGTTTGCTATGCTGCACTCTCTTTGGTCTTATCGGTCTATAGATATGGTGGATATATCCGACAGAAAAATTAAGATCTTGGATCATGAAGCCTAGATCCTAGTTCCCATTCTGCCAAATACTATGTGCCAAGTAGTACAGATAGGACTTTACCAACATCACTCCAATAATTCCTTCTCACAACCATATGACATGGGTACTATTATTATACCCATTTTTGCAGAAAAATAAAATGGAATTTTGCAAGAGGTGAATTAACTTGTCTACAATCTCATCACCTCCCTTCTGTACCAACCAGGGTCATGGTTAGAAGACCAGAACCACACCATTTATTTTAGCAGAGTTTAAGGAGGGAGTCGATTAAACAGGCATGGGAGGCCTACCCTGAGGTAACATAGAGATATAACCACAGGAAGCAGCCTCCACCCCCAAGGCCAAGGGAACAGGGGACAGAAGCTTGGAGAAGTGGGGCTCATAGAACCACAGCTCAGCCTTCAGAGGAGGGACCATCACTTGGCTGGTGTTGGTGTCTTAGGTCCTTGGAGGAGGGCCTCCCAGAGCAGAGGCTCAGACCTTGGAGAACAGCGTACTGCCAGAGGCTGCTGGTACCTCTGAGGGGTATGGTGCAGCTGGTTCTGGGAGTGTGGGAAAATGGGAAACCAGAACCAAGTTCAATGCCAAGGTGAAGAACCACCACTGGGTGAGCTACAGGAGCAACCCTCCTCCTGCCTTGCATCCTCCCTCCAGTGCCCCCTGTTGGCAGAAACTAACACAGAGCCAGTCGTTAAGGAGCACTGTGATTTGCACGTTTTCTGATTTCTAGCCCAATATAACTGAACAGAGACTAGAAGGGGTTGTTCAGGGCTGAGAGACAAGAGCTTCATAAATGGTAATCGTTCTTCTGCTGCCATTTCTTTATTGATAAAACAAAGACTGAACAGATGGTGTGCAGGGAGCAAATGATACTCCCGTTTACCAACTCTCCTGGGCTTCTATCACAGTAAAAAGATGTAGCTTATCAAGTTCTCCTCTCCTCCTCTCTTTCCACTTGACAGTGAGCATCTTGAGGCCTAATATGTTATTTCTCCCAGTACTTGTCTAGTGCAAAGGACAGTTCTTGGTGAGGGCTGCTATTCTATGCTTGAACTATATAACTACCAGATTTGGACATGTACTTAAGTCACCAACTATTGAATGATCATAGAGGGTGTGCCCAGCCCTGGACCAGGGACTGCGGAGAAGAAGGACATGCTTGAGGCATGGACTGGCTGTGAATGAACTGACAGTCTTCTTATATGAGTGACATGAACCCAACAAGCAAAGAGCAGGTTCTTGCTTATGTGACAAAATGTCTCAAATTTGGGTAGGTTCAGGTAGAGTTTGAGTTTAGGAAAGGGAGCACGATCACATGACTTAGAGTAATTGTTTCTTACCAACATCCAATATACTCACTTGGAGACACCATTTCTCCAAAAGCATGTGTGTTTAGAAAAGCTATTTTATTCTGCCATCTCTAGAGGCTTCCATGCACATCCAATAACGTGCAACTTCTCACATTTTAAAAAATTAAGGTGGAGATATCAAGAGAACATTCAGAAGTTACTTGTTCATGGCTGCAGAAAATCTGCAACAGAGAAATCACGTTAGGAGCAGCCCTGGGGGCCTCCACCAAATGAGTGAGCACAGCTGACCTTTTGCTAGAAGGTGTCACTGAGCTCCTTATCTAGGCCCAGACCAGAATGTAACCTTGCAGATATGATCCCATGGGAGAGCTGCCCATCTCTCTGACAGTGGGAACATTGTTCCCTAGCCTCAAGGAAGGCTTCAGGGAGTCATTTAATGACGCAGCATTTGATCTTCAGGGTTTGCAGAGAAAGATAAAGTGGCCCAGAGGAAATGAAAACATTCCTCTGGAGTCACCTGCCTACGTCAGCAAGATACAGGAACATTGGATTAAACAACTGAGAAGTACTCTGATGCTTGCTGGATTCTTTGAGATGATCACACCATTGACATCACTTTTCCTGATCAGAATACTAACTCTTTATGCAGGAATGGGGCTGTGTTCTTTACACAGAGCCCTCAGGCACACTCCATAAACTTTAAAGATCGAAGTATGAGTTACATAAAGCAAACCCCAGGAACCTGAAATGCATAGCTTGACAGAGTTTTCATATGTTTACACTATGTGACCAGATAAGGTCATACACTATTTCTAGTACCCTAGAAGACTTCTTTAGGCTCCCTCCTAGGAAGCTCTCTTCACCCTCCCATTCTGACCTTAGATTACTTTTGCCTGATCTTGAATTTTATATTATATGGATTTTAGAAGAGAATACTCATTTATGTCTGGATCTTTTGCTGAATATTGTACAATTTCATTTTTACTAATGGAGAAACTGCATACAAGTTCAGAGAAGTGTTATGACCTGAACAAGGTTTTACACCTGGAGTCCTACAATATTTTCCATTTCACAGCTCTTTTGCTATAATCCATATATCCAGCCATCCATACATCCATTCATCTAAACCTATCATAAGCAATGGCTTTGTGTCAGGGATGATTCTAGGTCTTGGACATATAGATATGAGTATGTCACCCCTACCCTCAGGGAGCTCCCAGTATAGTGGGAGAGAAATATCTCAGGTGCATAATCAAACAGGACTTGTGAGGGCATAGAACAAAAGGCTGTATACTTATGTGCATGCTGAGAGGAGGAATCTGTGACTGGAGGGCTCAGCATGGAAGGGATGACATTAGAGCAGAATTGCATTCTTGGACATTTTTCTTGTTTTTTCTTGCCAACAGGGATGCAAATTCTAAGAAGACAGGATTGGGGTCATCTTCTGTGTATATCCTATAGCACCTTGCAGTCATGGAGCCAGCAGAAAATTATTGCTGAATTCATAGCCTACAACCTTTAAACATTGTGAAATGTCTTCTCTAAGGGTATGAGTAGTACACCTAGAATCTTCTAACTCTTAAGCAGAGAATGACAGGTTACCATCTTGAGTTATTTGATTAGATACTTAGAAAGGTTATAAAGATCTTTAGCAAACAACAATGCCAGTTTCTGCAGAGTTCCTGGTGTGGAACCCTATAGCCAGAGAAACATAAGGCCCTGGATGAATCTCTGAAAATCGTGTCTGCCAACTTGCTTCTCTAGGTAGGTGAGAACTTGTTCAAGACTTTTTCATCCTTACAGGACATTAGAAAACACACTGTGGCAAACACATCCTAAGGTTACCCGCAATGAATATATCCCCTTTATAACCCCCCTGTATAATCCTCTCCCTTGATAATGGCAGATCCTGTGCATCTAACCAATAGAATATGGCAAAAGTAATGGGATGTCACTCCTATGATCATGTTATGTTATAGAAGACTCTGTCTTAGCAGACAGGAGAGAGTGTCTCTTGTTGGCTTTGAAAAAGCATGCAGCCATGTGTGAGAGGGCCTGAGAAGAGAGCCACATGGCAGGAAGCTGTGTGTGGCCTCTAAGACCTGAGTAGCCTCCAGCCAGTAGTCAGTAAGAAGCTGGGTCCCTAACAGCTGCCGGGAAATAAATTCTGCCAACAACCTGAATGAGCTTGGATTCTTCCCCAGTCAAGCCTCCAGATGAGAATGCAGCCCATTTGACACTTTGATTGAAGCCTTGTGACCCCTGAGCAGAGGACCCAACTAAATTGTGTCTACATTCTTTACCCACAGAAACTGGGATGTCATTAATATGTGTTGTTTTAAGCTGCTAAATTTATAGTGATTTGTTACAAAGCAATAGGTAACTAATACATGCACTTACATGCAAACACTGATTGTGTCAAAACAACCCTTGTGTGACACATAGTTCTACAGAGACTGTAAGTCTTATATATACCATATATAGGTTGTAGAATAATAACCAATGAATTATTTTTATGATTTCAATTAGCATTTTACTTTTATACTATTGTGGGCTCTGACTTATCTAAGAAGTAAAGCAAGTGACTCAGCAGGAGAAGATGGCGACCATGTGGGATGAGGCCGAGCAAGATGGAATTGGGGAGGAGGTGCTCAAGATGTCCATGGGGGAGATCATCTCACACACACAGATACTGGACAGTGAGATCAAGATCATGAAGAGTGAAGTGTTGAGAGTCACCCATGAGCTCCAAGCCATGAAGGACAAGATCAAAGAGAACAGTGAGAAAATCAAAGTGAACAAGACCCTGCTATACCTTATCTCCAACATCATCGAGCTCCTAGATGTTGATACTAATGACCAAGAGGAAGATGGTGCCCATATTGACCTGGACTCCCAGAGGAAGGGCAAGTGTGCTGTGATCAAAACCTCTACACGACAGACATACTTCCTTCCTGTGACTGGGTTGGTGATGCTGAAAAGCTAAAGCCAGGAGACCTGGTGGGTGTGAACAAAGACTCCTATCTGATCCTGGAGACGCTGCTGACAGAGTATGACTTGCGGGTAAAGGCCATGGAGGTGGATGAGAGGCCCACGGAGCAATACAGTGACATAGGGGGTTTGGACAAGCAGATCCAAGACCTGGTGGAGGCCATTGTCTTGCCAATGAACCACAAGGAGAAGTTTGAGAACTTGGGGATCCAACCTCCAAAAGGGGTGCTAATGTATGGGCCCCCAGGGACAGGGAAGACCCTCCTGGCCTGGGTCTGTGCCATACAGACTAAGGCCACCTTCCTAAAGCTGGCTGGCCCCCAGCTGTGCAGATGTTCATTGGAGATGGTGCCAAGCTAGTCTGGGAGGCCTTTGCCCTGGCCAAGGAGAAAGCACCCTCTATCATCTTCATTGATGAGTTGGATGCCCTCGGCACCAAGCGCTTTGACAGTGAGAAGGCTGGGGACCGGGAGGTGCAGAGGACAATGCTGAAGCTTCTGAACCAGCTGGATGGCTTCCAGCCCAACACCCAAGTTAAGGTAATTGCAGCCACAAACAGGGTGGACATTCTGGACCCCGCCCTGTTCCGCTCAGGGCGCCTGGACCGCAAGATCGAGTTCCCAATGCCCAACGAGGAGGCCCGGGCCAGAATCATGCAGATTCACTCCCGAAACATGAACGTCAGTCCTGACATAAACTAGGAGGAGCTGGCCCGCTGAACAGATGATTTCAACGGGGCTCAGTGCAAGGCTGTGTGTGTGGAGGTGGGCATGATCTCACTGTGCAGGAGTGCCACGGAGCTCACCCACGAGGACTACATGGAAGGCATCCTGGAGGTGCAGGCCAAGAAGAAAGCCAACCTGCAGTACTAGGCCGAGGGTGTGCCGGCCGGCCCCAGTCTCATGGCTGAAGTGCGCAATAAAAGGTGGTTTAGGGTCAAAAAAAAAAAAAAAAAGAAGAAGAAGTAAAGCAGGGCATTGCATTGTTTAGGACATAAGTTTAATTGCCCTAAGACAGACCCTAAATCAACCCCTTTTCTAACATTTGTATAGCTCAGGGCAAGAAGCCAAATGAGTGAAATACCATGTCTAAGTAATTAAAAGTTATAAATTACTGTTTAATGTATTCTATTCAACTATATTGGCAATATACCTTTAAAATGACATGTGGAAAGCTATGGTCTTGATATCATTGAAAGTTGGCAAAATGTTAAAGGTAATAGAATTTATTATTATGTCTGTTGGGTATTCTGCTAATGGACAATGTTTGGATGAAACAATCAGATATACATATAATTCATAAATTATATATTCTATAGCAAATTTTCCTGCCTTCATTTCAGAATAATCCTTAATTAATGTTGTTTAATATAACTAGTGTTCAATTGTCAGTAAGGACCTGAAAGACTAAAAAGTTAAATGTGTGTCACATTTGAATGAATTACCATCAAAATGTAGATTTAAACTAATAAATCAAAATTAAAACATTCTAAATTAATATTTTTTAAAAGTTTTCAACAGTATTTAAAATATCTAAAATTTAAGATCAAAACACATGAATAATACCAAACTTTAAATTAAAATTTAAATAAGGTTGAAATTGTTACTTAATTTTTAAAACACTTATTTGAATCATTATTTTTATAAAAATAAAACTATTTTTAATTCTAACTTTTCAAGTATATGTAGTTGCCAGTGTAAAGGATCAGTTTCACCTGTATCAAAATATCCCGTATACCTCATAAATATATACACCTACTACATACCCACAAAAATTAAAAATTTTTAAAAATCAGTTTCACGTGTCACACACATTATCTCTAGACCTATCTAGATGTGTATATATTTAAAGGTTACAAATTGTTTAATATTGCAAACTATTCCGTAACTTTCATATGTAACTCTTGTGGTTATCACATGGTACTGGTAGAATCAAGAATTGGAAGATGAATAGAATCAAGAAAATGAGGATTCTTCCCTTCTGAGAAGCAATACTTCTTGGTTATTCAGGAATCTGTTACATTGCTGGTCTCTGAGGGAGGAGTTGATGAGTCAATACTTAAGGGCTGGCACTGCTCAGATTCTCCCTGTACTCTTGAGTCTGTCCCTGATGTTGGCGATGTCACAATCCCCAATCTTTCACAACACTTGGACACAGCAGCCTTTTGTTTTGTGGACTAGGGCAAGAGATGTGGAGAAATGTTTCCCTGGAGGCTGACCGTTAGTCACATAAGCGGATGTTCAGGTGCCCACTTGCTCGTGCTGTGTTGGTGCCCAGGACTGGGTCCTGAGCAACTGGGTGCTCATGCTTCT